GAGGGGTGAACAAGAGGAGCAGGAAGTGTTGATGATGTTGATTCAAGTGAAGAATCGTTCCCCAGTCGATGGTGGGTTTTCCAGGGCAGCGACGGAGAAACTATGCCCCTGGTTTGTGTTCGGAAAGAACAGTGATGGGAACTCGTCAGCGGGGAAATCTACCGGTGAAATTGGTGGGGATCCGAACCCGCTGAGCTCCACGGATGTCCGTGATACCATTCGCATCTACATGAATGTGCGCGGTCGGAAGAGTGACGGCAAGTTCATCTATGCCACGACAATGAAAGACAATCTTAAGCCCAAGAAGAAAGGCAACGTCTCTGAGGTGAAGGAGGAGAGTCAGACGATCGGGAGTCAGGCGAAGAAGCGGGCGAAGATCGAGAGCAATCCTGGCGTCTCAAGTGTGTCGAGTGTCTCAGAGGAGGAGCCTGTTTTCACGATCTGCCTCCGTTTACTCAACAGGGTCACCTACCCGTTCCTGAGCGACGGCGTGGCTTCCATTCTATCAAACATGGTGGAGTCTCAGTATGACCCGCTGGGGCTTGTGGAGGGCGACCTGGACTATCGCGATGAAGATGAAAAACGAAACAAGAACGTTAGTTCGTATGCAAAGTTGTCGCTTACCGCGACGCGCGACAAGTTGTTGCAGAACGCCCGTAAAGCACTAGCGTACGCGCCGGGTGACAAGGAAGAAGAGTGACGATGAGAGTGACGTTGGTGGCAGTGGTGAGGGCCACTAGGCGATCAAGGTGGCGAGACGGAAACATCCAAGAAACGAGCACGTGAAAACCAAGAGGGTGAAGAAGGCCGTCCCACTAAACGCGCCAAGTGATCCAACAAGACGCCCAAGCCCACACCGAGGCAGTAACAGTACGTGCCTGGTGCCTGCAGCAACTACCGGTAGTTTTAACTACCAACAATTTGTTTTACTTGAGAGTACGCAGCCACCTCCAGTACGCTTCACCTTGCAGTTCTTACGGAAGTAGCACGTCTTTTGCTGTCTACGTCGTCTTTACTGCTCTACCTACTCGTCCTGCAGGAACGGGTATTATAGTCCGTGTACCCGCGCGCGTCGCCGAGGTAGAACGTGTCCGTGTCGTAGTCGTTCACGGGCTTGTTGAGTTGGAAGCGCCGCACCAGGTCCGGGTTCGAGATGAAGTGGCGGCCGATGGCCACGGCGTCGGCCGCGCCCTCCTCCACGATCTGCACGGCCGACTGCCGGTCGAAGCCCGACGCGGCGAGGAGCACGCCCTTGTACGTCTCGCGGAACTGCCGCGCCGAGCCCTTCTCGGGTGCCAGCGGGTCACGCACGTGGTAGCCACGCGGCTCGATCAGGTGCGCGTAGGCCAGGTCGTAGTTGTTGAGCCTGTTCAGCACGTACGTGTAGGTGGCGACGGGGTCCGAGTCCTTGTCGCCGAAGCTGCCGCCGAACGGGGACAGTCGGATGCCCACCTTGGACGAGTCCAGACTCTCGAGGATGGCCTCCAGTGCCTCGAACAGGAAGCGCGCGCGGTTCTCGACGCTGCCGCCGTACTGGTCGGTGCGGTCGTTGATGCCGTCGTGCAGGAACTGCTCCAGCAAGTAGCCGTTGGCGGCGTGCAGCTCGACGCCGTCGAAGCCCGCGCTGATGGCGTTCTCCGCGGCCGTGCGGTAGTCCGACAACTGCAGGAACATCTTGCCGTGCACGGCCTTGGTCACGTGGCGCCAAGCCTCGATCTGCTGGGGCGCGAAGATGTCAGGGGAGCCCCAGGATCCGCGGTCCGTGGGCGTGATGTTGGTGGCCTCGGCGATGATGAGGCCGCCGGGCGTCGCGCGCTGCTTGTAGTACTCGACAACTGCAGGATTTCTCGACGTTTTCCTACTGCGTTTTTGACGCAATACGAACGATGTGAAAGTAGACTATCGCGGCGATATATACGTTATGGACACCAGGGCCTCAGAGTTTTAGTTTTTCACACTATTAGAACGCCTAGGCGTTGTATTCGGATAGACCGCCTAGTAGGCGTTCTATTTTATTTCAATGCCTGGGCGTCTGGTACGGGGTAAGACGGTAGCAGGCATGCCCCCATTCTCGCCACCGCCGCCATGATACTACTGCCACTTTGCTGACTGTGTACTGCTGTGCTGCTTTGCAGGTGGACATATCCAGCGAGTTGGACTCCGACACTTTGGCTGCGTTCGTCGACGAGAGCCGATCAGCCATTGGCGAAGAGAAATCTTCCTATGATGAATTATCTGAAACAATTTGTCGACCCCAGCAACCTCCGGGGCTCCCAAAAAAAACGATAGATAGCTTAACCCTATCGTTACCAGAATGATACATCAAGTATCTTTTTAATGGTGATGTAGTAGCAAGATAACTGAAACAGCAATTTTCTGAGCCACGGCAGTTTCCTCGCCGTTTATGACCAATCATACAGCTAAGAGGGATAGGTAAAACCCCACGCTATTGTGTCTTCTGTAGTATATCTATCAACACTATTGTGTCCCCAGGGGCACGGATGCGATCGTCGAGCACAACGCCAGCGGCAGCCGCACACAGGTCGCCGCCGGAAGTAGCGGCCGCAGTGCCGCCAGCGACATCGGCAGCAGGGTCTCGGACACGATGGAGGTGACCGTGGCCTTGGAGGACGCGGTCAGGGGCGTCTCCGCCGACATGGACACGGACACGGACGCGATGGTGGCGGGGGACTCGGGCAGCAAGCATAACGGCGGTCGCAGCGCCGTGTGTGCGCCGGCAACATCATGACCACGGACGCTTGGGCGTGACCGTTGTCGTGCTGGAGGTGGTCGTGGGTGCCTCCACCGGCACGGAGGTTGGCAAGGATGTGACCGGTGACCAGACAGCGTGCGCAAATGCATCGACAGTGCGGAAGGAGACCGTTGTAGAGGTGCCAGCAGTACCGTCAGCGGCATCAACAGCATGACGTCCTTTGTAGAGATCGTGTCCGTACGGGAGGAGATCGGAGGCAACTTCGTCAGCATGGAGTCGGACGCAATGGTAGCGGGCGACTCGGGCAGCGAGGGCAGCGGCCGTGGCAGCGCCGTCAGCAGCATGACCTCAGATGTGGTGGTGGCGAACGTGGCCGTGCTGGATGTGGTCTGAGGCGTCTTCGCTGACATATACACAGTTGGGAGTTATTGTTCGGCTTGGAGGCGCGTGGAATTTCTAATAGCATCCTGTCGGATTATACGCAGTGGAGTGTGGTTAGCTTGCCGCTATGGTGCACCAGTGGTGAAGCAGTATGTTGTCAGCCACGAGCTAAATCCGGATTTACGGCATCAAGACTAGCGGGGGCAGATGGAATAGGTGTGACTTAGTGCAGTGAAGTA